ATTATTTTTTTTTTTAAAAGGAGTATCAGCAAATTTTATTTATATGCTAAAGAAAAAAAAAGGCTTTTATTTTTCCTGATGAATTGACAGCTATTGTCGTTTTGTAATTCATTACAGGAGATGATGCAAGTTACAGAAAGTCATTAAGTAGTCGGCGGAAACAGATACGAGAAAGGAAGAGAGCGGGTACAGGAGTTATACACATGGATGAGGTAGGAGTACTAATTTTTATATCAAAAATATTTCACAATGCATTTCTGTAACTCTTGTGTTCCTTTCTATCTTGTAATTTATAATTTCCCTCAACTTGTTCTCACTTTTCAATATGCTCTCGCATTTTGACATTGTTCTGTGCGTGGTTCCATGTATCTCAACTTAGTCCTGTGCATTTTAACATGGTTCTCTGCATCTCAACCTGTGGTTCCATGCATCTCAACGTGTGGTTCCATGCATCTCAATGTGTGGTTCCGTGCATCTCAACGTGTGGTTCCGTGCATCTCAACGTGTGGTTCCGTGCATCTCAACGTGTTGTTCCGTGCATCTCAACGTGTGGTTCCGTGCATCTCAACGTGTGGTTCCGTGCATCTCAACGTGTGGTTCCGTGCATCTCAACGTGTGGTTCCGTGCATCTCAACGTGTGGTTCCGTGCATCTCAACGTGTGGTTCCGTGCATCTCAACGTGTGGTTCCGTGCATCTCAACGTCTGGTTCCGTGCATCTCAACGTCTGGTTCCGTGCATCTCAACGTCTGGTTCCGTGCATCTCAACGTGTGGTTTCTTGCATCTCAACATGTGGTTTCTTGCATCTCAACATGTGGTTCTGTGCATCTCAGCGTGTGATTTCGTGCATCTCAACATATGGTTCTTTGCATCTCAGCGTGCGGTTCCTTGCATCCCAGTGTGCGGTTCCTTGCATCCCAGCGTGCGGTTCCTTGCATCCCAGCGTGCGGTTCCTTGCATCCCAGCGTGCGGTTCCTTGCATCCCAGCGTGCGGTTCCTTGCATCCCAGCGTGCGGTTCCTTGCATCCCAGCGTGCGGTTCCTTGCATTCCAGCGTGCGGTTCCTTGCATTCCAGCGTGCGGTTCCTTGCATCTCGAGGTGCGGTTTCTGTGCATCTCAACGTGTGGTTCCTTGCATCCCAGCATGCGGTTTCGTGCATCTCAACGTGCGGTTCCGTGCATCTCAACGTGCGGTTCCGTGCATCTCAACGTGGTTTCGTGCTTCTCAACGTGTGGTTCTGTGCATCTCAACGTGTGGTTCTGTGCATCACAACGTGTGGTTCCGTGCATCTCAACGTGCGGTTCCGTGCATCTCAACGTGGTTTCGTGCTTCTCAAAATATTGCAACATGCTTCCTTCTCATTAACATGTTCCAGCTTCAACAATGCTTTCTTTCTTTTTTTCTTAACCTGCTGTTTCATTCATCCATTCCTAGTGGTATATTTTCCAAACTTTGACATACATGTCCATAGTTGAAAATAAATTGCGGATCATTCGTATTTTAACAGCTAGATGAAGAAGAGGACAAAAAAGAGGAAGAAAGACGGAAAGAAGAAGAGAAGTTAAAGGAAGAAGAGGAAAAAAGAAATGTAGAGGAAAGGAAAAAAGAAGAGGAGAAACAAAGGAAAAATGAACTTGAAGACATTAAGGTAAGAAGTGATGGATGAACATGAGAGGAAATTATGATATTATTTTGTTTTTGCAATGAGTGGGAGTGAGTGACATGAGTGACTGATTTGCAATTAGTGACTGACAAAAATTACTTTGATTTGCATTTGACAGTGTCGGAAATGACTGATTTGCTCTAAGTGATAGTGAGTGACATGAATGACTAATTAGTGACAAGAATGATTTTGATTTACATTGAGAGATGTTGAGTGCCAAGAATGAATGAGAACCAAATGAAATCGATTTGAAATGAGGGATATAAAAACATTTGGAAGAAAGAACTTTAGTTTTAAAGAAATTAATTTTAGTGAAAGAATCCTGTTGAATCTTGTTTGTCTGATGTATTGAATATGCCATGCGAGTCTGATGACCTGGGTGTGCTGTTTAGTCTCAGGACAGCATTGTTATTACTACATCAGATTATAGACTTAAGTCCTTTGTGTTTGGTTCACTATGTTTGTATGGTCCGACTGTATGCTGTGTTATAAACAACAATCAATATGTTCTGCTATGTTGGAAACTCTTGCTGTACAGTTATTTCTGTTACCTGATTCTATTACAATCACCCATGTACAGTGTCATTGTTTTTTGTTGATTGCCAAATCCAGAAATCAGTGGGATGTGTAATACGCAGATTATTGCTTTCTTGACAAGTTTGAATGATATTGTTAAAAAAACGTGTAGGGTACATTGGGTGCAGGATAATAATTGTTTGTTGTGTGTCCTGAACTTCTCTTTTCATTTTCATTAAATTCAATATCAGTATATTTTATTTGTATGTGGGAATCTGGCTTCAAAATAGTTACAATGTAAACTTAGTGAAAATATTCAAATATCAACACAAATTTACTTGTATGCTGATTGGTGCAGTGGTCTGCTGTATATACACTAGACCCTTTCGTATTGATTAAGATTGTATAGCTTTGTGTGGTGCACTATTATGAAGTGGAAGTCTATACTCAAGTGGAAGTCCATACTCAAAGTGATAGTATAGTATTGTTGTACTTGATTACTACACCTGTTTACTTCAGTGCTTCCATCAATCACACTATTTGCATTCATCTTGTCAGTTTCTGCCATGATGGTAAATCTTAAAAGTGCTTTGTGTTACAAGATAGATTGACTGTATTTTTGTAAATGTAGAAGTGCCCATTGCTAACTTTATTATTTCTATCTGGTATTTTAGAATTAGGTTGGGTTTTGTTTGTCAACAATGTTGTTGACATGAAGTGCAAATTGCGCAGACAGTCTGAAAAAAGCTCTATGAATTCATTTTATTTGGTGAAATATTAAAATAAAATGAAAATAACTAAATAGTATACTAATAATTATACATATTATATAATATTATACTAATATTTGTGATGCAAGAACAATATTGGAAAATAATTATTGACTCTCGTGTGCGAAGCACAAAAAGGGAGTTTTTGCAGTTAGTGTGTCTGTCTGCTGTGTCTGTGTGTTCCACTGATATCTCAAGAACCATACATTGATTTTTGATGAAACGTGGTGCATAGATGCTATGGGCCAATGCGCAGATTTGATCAGGCTTTGGTAAAAATCCATGCTAATTAATTACCTAATTTGCATGATAATTAGCTGATTTTTTGCTGTTCCATGATTGTTCCACTGATATCTAAAGAACCACTAGTTGAATTTCGATGAAACTTGGCACATAGATGCTCTGAACTAATGCACAGATTTGATCAGTTTTGGGTAAAAATCTGTGCAATAATCATTACCTAATTTGCAAAATTATTTAATTTGCAGCTTTTGATATTTCAAGTAGTAATCATCACATTTCAATGAAACTTGGTACATAGATGTCATATGACACTGCACAGACCTGATAGTTTTTAGTGTCATATCAGTACATATTAATTACCTAATTTGCATAATCAATGCATGATTAATCAATTGTGACCGCTGAACATTAATGTGTGAAACCATGTGTTCAGTTTAGCCTACATTGTTGTGCCAAGCCATGTGTTCAGTTCAGCCAACATTAATGTTGTGTGAAACCATGTGTTCAGTTTAGCCAACATTGTTGTCAAACCATGTGTTCAGTTTAGTCAACATTGTTGTGTCAAACCATGTGTTCAGTTTAGCCAACATTGTTGTGTCAAACCATGTGTTCAGTTCAGCCGACATTGTTGTGTCAAACCATGTGTTCAGTTCAGCTGACATTGTTGTCAAACCATGTGTTCAGTTTAGCCAACATTGTTGTGTCAAATCATGTGTTCAGTTTAGCCAACATTGTTGTGTCAAACCATGTG